AAAGTTCGACGGTTCAAAGATATCAAATCTACCGATTGACCGAGTATATCCGACATATGTTCACTACGGAAAGTTCAAAGGGAAACCTACTTATCCAGATGCAATTAATCCTTACTTCCAAATCACATAGCTTTCATCAATGATCTTTCTTGATACAGCCATTCCCATTTATGTGGGGGATTGTTGGACTTTAAGCTATTGGGCTTTAAAAGAGAAGAAGTGTGAATTGGAAATGGAGGGAAATAAAATGGAGGGAAAATGAAAATTTGAAGAAGTGAACTTTTGTCTTGCACTTTGTCCCTCATTGGTGAGGGACAATCACATTTCTGTGCTTATATATAGATTCACTTCTTAAAGCTCTTAAAAGGAGTTGAAGAGAATGAACCCTCGCGCCGTCGTCGTCGCTCGCTCGGCTCGGCTCGGATTCGGCTTCGGATTTGGATTTGGATAATGATCGATCGATAAGATTATTTTTGGACAAAATTTATTTAATTATTTAATAATTAATTAAATGCCAAATCACTGCTGAAAGTTCAGAGGGCCTCGCTGGCCGCGGTTCTGCCGCGACCGCGGTAGAATCGCGGCAGTCAGATTCAGAGAAGCTCTCTGGCCGCGGTTCGGCCACGATCGCGGTAGAACCGCGGCAGGCCGCGTATTTTCTGAAAAGGCACCTTTCCAGACACCTCTTCTGATATTTGCCTATAAATTCTGAGGCAAGGCTGCATCTTCCACATACGAAAAAAGACTCTAGAACTTCTTTCTTTCTGAATATATTGCATCCTAATTCGCAGTCTCTCTCTCTCAAATTCGTAAGTGTGATTTTGCTCCGTTCTTTGAGTTCGTTGGTATCCTGCAGTTTGTATTGCCACTGTTGCAGGAAGGTTTATTCCGTTTTATCCTGGGAGGATTTAATCCATTACCTTGGCAACGTGTGAGGGGGTTAAAATTCCTTAAGGACGCACAAGAAAATTGTGGACTCGGAATATTTCTGATTCTTTACTATTTTATATATTTCTTTATTCTTCTAACAGTTTCCTGAATTTTGTTTTAACTCAGTCACATTCACATAAACTTCACCTTTGAACAACCCCAAAATACTCCAAAAATCTGCGAAAATCAGTAGCAAACAGTCCAAAACGCTACGAATTTCTCACCCAAAAATAGTCGGAAAATTACAGCTGAAACCTGCTACCGAAATTGCTCAAAAACAGTCCAGAAATCTGGACCAAGAACAGTCAAAACTTAGCGAAAAATGGCCATAAGATCTGCCGCAAAACTCACCCCAAAACATCACTCAAAACAGCCCCCGTAACTTCTGAAAATCAGCCAAGAACGCAGCTTAAATTCTTCCAAAACGCAGTAGAAAAACGACCTGCAAATATCCATGAAAGTGCACCTAAATCCAGCCCCAAAACAGCTGCGAAAAAAGTCCAAAACGTTGCTACTTCCAGCTCAAAAATAAAAATACCAAAACTAAATACATAATGACACAGGTAATTACTTTCGTTGATATGAAAATAACAATATTTGATACACAAGTAATTACTTATGCAACAGCATAACTCCCCATCCTTATTCTCTATGGGATGCCAGAGCAAGCTATCGTCTATATTTTTTTACAGCATTTTGTTAATGCTGCAGCTAATCTTCAATATACTACTTTTAACAATTAAAAAGGACATAAAAGCACATGTATTGAATCGCGAAGTAGCGACACAGAGAATAACACCTTTTTTCGCTCAATTCAATGTCGCATAACGTAATATTCAAAAATTAAATATAGAAAATAGAGAAATGGACCTTTGAGAAACTGGGCTTGGGATTTCCTTGAAGGACCACCATCATTAAACGACATCACTCCACCTGGCAAAATAAGGTTTGTGAATGAAAAAGACGACGCAAATTAAAATTGGAATGTTAATTATGTTTTAGAAACAGAAGAGGGAAAACATCTAGCTATCTTATAATGAGGATATGGTATCATAAGTACACACACAAGGTAGATATGCAATCACCTTTGAAAGTTGACATTGAACATCATCTCCAGTACTAATGCCAAATTTGAAGCAGTGGCCAAGCTTAACCTCCAGTGACAATCCCCTCTTTCAAATCGACATTACAAAACTAGAAAATGCAAAAAAAATAGGAAAATGAAAATAAATTGCATTAACTTAATCGTTCCGAATAGAATATTGTAAAATCCAACTTATAATCTGTTGCAATTAACATAACTGAACAGGAAAGGGAAAAAGAAAAAATTCGTACATGACATTCTGTGCTTCTTCACAAATGCGATGTAAGAAGTCCCGTTAATCCATGTTATGGAAAATCCTGATAGATCTGTATTTGCAACATTTTATGAAATGTTAATTTATATATAGAATAGAGAAATAGAGAAAGATATAAGAAAAGAACAGAAAAGTAAAGCGTACCTATTACATGTTTCAGATATCTTATCAACAGCTATTGTCGCACTTGGTTAATGAAGCTCAGTAACAAAAGTAGTACTTAAACCTCAAAAAAGACACTGATTATCTTTCTAGTGTCAAACTAAATTTCGAAAAACTTCTTTAAATACAACATTTGTATCTTTAGTAGTTATTTGCCCATTGTCATCACAAACCAAAATTTTTAATCCCTTTCTGCTTGTCACCCAAGAAAGAGCAACATATAGTTGTCCATGTATAAAAACTGGTTTTTTCAATAAACCCACGTGAGACAATGATTGTCCTTGACTTTTATTGATTGTCATGGCAAAAGAAACAATAATTAGAAATTGTCTTCGCTGGAAATTAAATGGAATTCTAGCATCAGATGGAGTCAATGTCATTCTTGGAATAAACACTTTATGTCCGGCCATTTGTCCTGCTAACACCTTGGCTTCAATAACTTGATTTCCAAATTTAGTTGTGATCAACCTTGTTCCATTACATAATCCTACTGACTGATCAATATTTCTTAATAACATTACTGGAATACCAACCTTTAGAGTAAGAGCATGATTTGGAACTCCAGAACATTTAATTGTATTTAAGAATTCAGGAGTGTGTACATGTTCCAGTGTTGAATAAGTATTGTCAGAGCTGCAGATTGTATCGGAACTCAAATATGATTTCTCAGAACTTTGATTAAGAGAAATCATATATTCGTTGATTGATTCCACTATATCAATAGTTGGAGTAACAATGGCTCTTTGCTGGAGGTATCCTATATCATTGCAACGATTGTTGAAATCCAGATATGTACTTTCTACAATTGCAGATGTTGGATCAACAGATTGTTTTATCAAAAGATCATCTGGTATTTGGACTTTTTCATTGCCCTTAACAGAAGTATCGACTATACCATCGCCAATTGCCAAAATCCAATCTGAAAAAACTCTCAACTCATCTAGATGTGTCCCTATTTTATTACCTTGTAATCTCATATTCTTTGTTAACTTTAAGAGTTGACAGTGAGGCCACAAATAAGAAGAATTGAGAGAAGAATTAACAATATCTTGTCTACTACCTTTTGGAATGACAGGTAATATTTATCTGAAGTCACCACCAAGAACAATTGTTTTACCTCCAAATGGTCGGTGTAAATTGGATGCATCTTTAAACCTAAGAATATCTCTTAAAGTTTTATCAAGAGTTTCAAAACAATATCTATGCATCATAGGTGCCTCATCCCAAATAATCAACTTTGCCTTAATAATTAAATTTGCTAAAGGAGTACCTTGCTTGATATTACATGTTGAATCTTCAGTTACATTTAGAGGAATCACAAATCTTGAATGAGTTGTTCGACCACCTGGTAACAACAAAGATGCAATCCCGCTAGATGCAACAGTTAACACAATATCTCCTCTAGATCTTATGGCAGAAGACAGAGTTCTCCAAATAAAAGTCTTGCCTGTTCCTCCAAAACCATATAAAAAGAAAAATCCACCTTTGTCTTCATTCACATCTCTTATTATTTTTTTCATAAACTGACTTTTGCTCATCTGTCAAATTCTTTACTAATTGTTGATGTTCCTCTGCCAAATGCGTTTATTATAATGCAATTCATCCCGTATTAATCTGTTGCTGTTGTCAACTTCTTCCGTATTATAAACAGGCCTTGGCATTGTTGGAAAATCCTGGAAACTTCTTCCACAACCTTTCAAAAAAATTTCAAGCTTTTGCAAACAACGATTTTTCAATTCTTCATCTGTTAGGTCAGCTTCTGAAATAACATTAAAATATAAAATAATTAAATACAATGAAATTATAAAGTCTAGTTTAGCCACGTGAAATTAATAATAAGATTAACGAAAAAGTATAGTGTTAAATAGTAGTTTACATTAATTTAATGCACATTTAACGCACATAGAATTTGAAGTAATAATATAGTCCAAACCATGTGGTTCATTTTATTTTTAAAAATTACTAATACTGTGAAGATGCATTTTATTATTCGTAATGTATCAAAAAAAATAATTTTGCTATCCAAAAAAATTAATTGCAATATTTTCAATTAAAATAAAGAATGCATAAGAGAGATTATAGGCTTTCCCGAAGCTTTAGGGCATTAAATACAATGCATTAATTTTCTATTAGTATTTATTTTTGGAAAGTGCATTAATTACTATCAATATTATTCCTATGATCTAAACACAATACTATAGTAAAAAGACAACATAACAAAATATTGTTTAACGAACATTAAGTTGTTGAGTGAATTTTGTATGAAGTTGAAAAACAAAAAAGAAGAAAGAAATGAACAATCAGATTAATATGAATGAAGTAATTAAAAAGAAAATTAATTAATAAAATTAAGCAAATCGGCCATCCTTCATAAGTATCATACCATAACTCGAAATTGTAAGCATTAAATAAGTACCTGGGTGATCCAATATTCTTCTTTCTTCATGAAGGATATCTTCTGATAGTAAATGACATGTTGCTTGCCAAACACTTTTTGGACATGACATTGAATTTGATAAAAGTAGCATAGCAAATAATTGTCTAAGATATGATGTCATTCTCCAATTACTTGCTTCCATTATAGCATCTACATATTCCTTGTCATCATCTAATAAACCCGGAGCATAACATGCATCTCTAAAAGTCCCATGATCACAACCGTTATTTTTTTTAAATCCTCATAGCTCTTTGGACCTTTAATGACATCCAACAACAATCCAAGGTAATATTGCTCGCCAGAGCCAGGTGGAACAAAGAATATTCTCCCAATAGAAAATGCAGATGTTCTTCTTTTTTCCCATCTTTTTAGGTTTTGTTTCCACACAAACTTTAGAGGTAATTCTGCATAAATCAATTCTCTTGATTTAGGAAATGTCTTATTAGCTTCAAACCAGCTTAAAAACATAGATTCCTTAACGGTTGGTCTATTGACAACTGCATCAATTGGATCATCATCCGAAAATATCACCGTCTGATTATTTGGTAGGTGAAAAGATAGCCTTTATACAGGTGGTTCTCTATGGTGTATTGGGAATTTAAAAATTCTCCAAGCATCTTCACAAGGTGATATGTATCGGCAATCACAATACATATTTATTTCATCAACGACCCTCGAGTCTTCATTATTTACACTTTGAGAAAAAGTTGCGGTGACACGATCATTACTTTTATTAACATACTTACATAAGCACTTAATGGATCGTGATTGATTACACCACTCCACGTTAATATGTGCACAATACTTCAATAATAAAAATCTATTGTGTGGTACAACATATCTATTATCCAACTCAATACCTACTCTCTTTGCAGTTCTACCATCATCCCTTCTTCTATAAATTGGATACCCATCTTCATCAATTGTGGTTGATGACACAAATTTTTTTGGAAAATGCTTTGTGCATCTACCATTTTGCATGCACGGAGAAGATTTTCTAGCAGTACCACAAGGACCATGCATCATGAAATTTGTAACAGCATAATAATAATAAGGATCTACTTTTTTATCTGGTAATTCTGCTGAAATTATTCCATCAATATTTTTGTCATTTGGTATTTATTCAAAAGAAAAAGCAAGAAGTGTGCATGAGGCAAGCCTCGTTTTTGGAATCCAACTATATAAATCACTGAAGAATAAAGATGTAATTAGATCATTAAGTTTATATATTAATTATTTTTAGTATTAGCATATAATAAAATTAATGTGCAAACATAATAATTTTGTAGAACATAAAAACTGTACCTGCTTTTACTTCTCCAAAAACTTTATTGTCTCGTAGATCATTTATCATGCGATCCAGCTTGATTTTGAAAACCCTTGTTAAAATGTCGGAACGATCTTTTGGAGATAATCCCCTACTCTCCACAAATCTAGTAATCTCTGGCCATTTTGGGTTGCAAGTAAAAGTGATGAACAGATCAGGGTACCCCGCCCATTTGCAACTTATCATAGCATATTGATAATTTTGCAACATGTAACGTGCACCTCCCGTAAAGCTGGAAGAAAGTATAACTCTTTGTCATTGAGAAGAAGGTTCTATGTCGCCATGTAAAACAACATCTTGTAACCTTTTATAAAAGTGTGCTCTCAATTGTTTTTGATGAAGCCTAATGAACCTCAATCGAGAAGATTCCATCATTGTATAACCATTTACCAATAATTACTGAAATAATCTTCTACCTGATACAATTGTTGGATCTTCATCCTTCCATTCTTGAATTTTATATGATAAGTACTCACGCGTGCTAACATATTTCCTTCCACCGGTTGAATCATCAATATCATTTAAAGGAATATCTTCTCTGTATCCATCTTCACCATACGGAAATAGTAATGGATATTGCAAACCTAAGTATGATACATTTAATTCATTTATCCTTCGTAGTTGTCCAGATTGACTTTCAACTATGATATCTCTGTCAGACCTTCTTTGTTCAAAATCTCCAACAATCAAGGCAGCTACCTCTGAAACTGTTGGTAAATTGTATCTTCTTCCATCAGAGCCTCTTTTCCCAATCAATCTAAGTCTAACATTTGAGGTTCCATCCGTTTAAAATTGATCTCTTACCATTCTAAATGACTTTGCAAGAACATTGTTGTCATCAAGCATTTGCTTCAACTCATTGACAATTTCAGCATGAAGTTGATTGTTCATTTCACCACGACTGTAAAGAAAAATATTGAATTCAACAAACAATTTATATCTTATAAAAAATATAATTTTAAAATATTTTGAGTAAGCAATTGTCTATGCTAACCAGATAGCATGAATTCTATTTTCTACCTCATTTTCTGTATCATAAATATACAATTGTGCAAATTTTGGAGAAGATCCCTCCAAAGGCAATAAGCTTCCAATCTGATGATAATTTTGCCCAGACAATCTGAATGTTCTAGGTCCCTTTGTTTTGTTGATAGAGAAATCCACATTTCCTCCCATTGATGTGAATGCAAATATAGAATTATATGTTCGAATGTTCTCTCTGAAATGTTTGCTTTTTGCACCTTCATGAAATTAGGTTTGGCTAAAGCAGATATATATATGCAAAAATTATAGTGTCATTATTTTAATGAAATGAATTTATCTATTAACCTGATCCAAACAATAAATTCTTCAAAATCGAAGGAGGCTCCTTTGGATTTGGTAGCTTGATTTTTCCACGACCACAACACAAAGTGAAAACTGGTTTTTTTATTTTTATACTTCTTGTCAACTCTTTCCTCAAACCAGAAATATGCCCCACAATATTCACATTCATAATTGGCATCTCCAATATCCCAGTATTCTGGTTTTATGAGAGTAAAATAAAGAGATAAATTTAAAGTACTTATTATATAGAAAATAAAAGTATGTTGTATATGTAACTTTAAATTACGTCATACTTATACCTTCATTGGTCATCAAGCTCTCTACTTCATCATCTAAAAATAATAATAATTAGTGCTTAAAATTTGAAATTTAATATATGTGGAACTGTTAAAACATTTTAACATTATCGACCATTAATGAGTTATATGTGAATACCTTCAAAAACACCGTCATCTTCATTTTCATCATGAATTTGTACGTTGGATTGCATATGACCTTGATGAAAAAATTAAAAATTAGTAAACTTGTATGTATGAGTATGAGTTGTGGTGAGTTCAATGACATACCTGGTATATCAGCATCAATATTGTCATCTTCAAATTCTAAACATAAATATTAATTGTTAGCCTTTTTTCAATTTCATATTGAAGAAAAAGTATATTGCAAAACTGAATTTGAAATTATAGGGGTGCTTTTAAAATAATGAAAATTGCAAAAGTATAACCCAAAAAAAATAACTCATAGAAGTAGAATTGTAAAATAACAAACATGGTGTACTTGAGAAAATAAAGAGAAGCAAATAAATGGAAGCAAATTAAAGTTTAGTTTTTTTAAATACTTCTGTTGCCCAAGTTTCGCATATAAGTTATATGTGTATAAATTAAAAACTTCATTATTTATGCGGACATGTATATAGGGGCACAAAAAATTGACTTCCTCAAATTTCAAAAATAAGTTAAATAAATTAAGCATAAATATTTACCTTGAAATAATGGTATCTTATTTAAATCAGGTAGAAGGTGTTCTTTCTGCAAATTTGAACTCGACAAACCATATCGCAAATTATGCTCCTGCATTGATTTTGGATATTGTTCTTGAGAATAAGACGATGAAACTTGTCCACAACTCTTTATTGGGGTACTACTAAATCGAGGAAAATTTAGACGATTTGTTATGTCCGTTAATAATTGTTTTGTTTTCCCTTTTTGAGAAGCATTCCCTATGATAGTAGTATCAACCAATTCTGTAAACCATAAAAAAAAAAAAAAAAAAAAAAAAAAAAAAAAAAAAAAACTAATTGTTAGAAGTGGAAAAGGATAGGAAAACTATCAAACCAATTTGTATATACTAAATTGTATGTAAACCAAGTTAACATGTAGCATTTGTTTTTCATGTTAGTCAAGATAAAGTTTAAGTTTATTGCAATATTGATCTTGAAAAAATAATTCTATAGCTGGGTTTAGCTACAAAAATAACTATTGACTTTTGTGTTTTAACAGTTTCACCGTCACTTTGAACCTCATTCCATTAAGTTAAACTAAAGGTAGTACCTTAGTAACCTTATGGAATTAAAGATGGTCAAGAGTATATATAGATGTCAAATACAAAGCGACTCCCATCAATAAGGGTTAACTTTGGCTAAAAACTCACATTACAAACATGAATTAAATCTTACTTCGCCTCTAATTAGTCATACTTCTAATGAAAATGTAAACCGCCTATCAAACAATATGTTAAATTAGATGGCTAACAAATCTTCATTTTAAAAGTATTCTAAATATTAAGGCTAATCAACCAAAGAAATATTTTTTAAAAAAAATAAACATCGCAAAAGAGAAGATAAATCGCTTAACAAAAATTTCAAAAGTAGAACGACAAAAAGCAAAATTCATACAAAATAATAATTCTATATTTATAACAAATATGTTTTACTTATAATAAAATAAACAAAAGCAAATAATGGCAGAACATTAAGCTTTTAATATATAAATTATTCTACTGGCCAGTCCATTACGCATATGAGATAAAAGTATATAAGTTAAAAAAAAAATTATTGTTGTTATTTTCCGGAATAGCAGTACGGAAGTTTGACTTCCTAAAATTTTCATTTAAGATATAACAAAATTTACACAAATATTTACCTTGCAATAATGGTAGCTCATTTAAATCCGGTAAAAGATGATCGCTTTGCAATTTTGAAGGCGAAAAATCATATCGCAAATGTTGTTGTTGCGTTGAATTTGGATATTATTGTTGAGATTGAGATGATGAAACTTGTTCACAGATTTTTATGAGTGCACTACATAATTGAGGGGAATTCAGACGATTTGTTATGTCCGTTAATGATTGTTCTGTTTTTTCTTTTTCAATAGCATTCCGTCTGATAGTAGTAGAATGGACAAAGTCTGTAAACCATAAAATAAAAAAAGGTAACTGGTATAAGTGGAAAAAGGTAAGGAATCTATCAAAACCAATATAATTAAATAATTTATCAAATCTTTAAGGACAATAACCATCATTAAAGGTTAGTATATAAGATTTGATATGCTGAATTGAAAAAATAAAGCTGTAAAAGTTAGGAGTGACTGCCAACTGAAATGTCCAAAATTCATAGAATCCAAAACTATGACCAACGATAACTTTTACCAGCTTGGCAAACTGTTCAGAAAACATATTTAAAGGTTAGTATATAAGATTTGATATGCTGATTAGAATTGTGAGTTTTCTCTACTTGCAACTGAGTAAAGCAGGTATAAAAGTGACTAATAAAGCCGATAAACCTGTACGACTAATCATTAAAAGTACCTAAAAATTACAAATGCTCTAAATTTTAAAAAATGCATAAGATGTATGGGATGGGTAAACATATAAAAAATGATAAAACATATGACATAATATATCTTAAATTTATGCAATGATATATCAAATAATGCATTCAGAAGAAAGACGATATACAACATAATAGAGACTAATATGGTGTACGGATCAGAAAGTTCTTACAATATATAAAACACATATTTTTTATACTTATACTTAAATTTCAGCATCTAATGCATCTATGAAACTGAACAAATAGTAGAACAAAAAGATTTAGTAAAACACCGAATTTGCGTCAAATTATTTAAAGAACTGCAATATTATTGTTACGCGGTGCCTTCCTGATGTTCTTTGGAAGGGCAACGTAAGGCTAGGCAACCGATGTCAGTGCGGTTGCTGTCCGCCAATGAGGTTCCCTCCGCATGCTAGACTAGATTGTCGGTGTCGTGCGGGAAAACCAATATCACGAGAAATTGTGGAAGCTGAGAGAGAATTGGGTTTTGAATAATGATGATAATTTTATTGATGAATGAAAGTTGATTACAAAAGATGTGGTGTCGAGGGGGAGAGACACCAGTACAGAAAATTGGTTGCTTGAAAATGTTTGATTGTTTGATCCCCCCTAATAATGCTTAAAAAAAATAAACCAAAGTTACATGACTTGCCCTAATAAAGCTGTAGAAGCACACTGAATGAAAATAATGTAAACTAGCCTATAATTACAATGAAAAGGACTTAGTTTATTACAATTTAGAAAAAAGTCTGATGGCAGCAACTTTGTCTTGCGGGTCAGGGTCTGCGCGCGCGGTGCTGTTAGTGCGTGCGACACTTGTTGTGCTTGCCTGAGGCTGGGCGCTGGTGCTTGGCATCAGGGTCTGTGCATGAGGCGCTGCTGGAATGGGCCTGCAGCTGGGCGCTGGCGAGGCATCAGGATCTGCTCGCGCGACATTGTCAGTGCGCACGACGCTGTTGTCATTGGCCAGCCGCTGGGCGCTGGCGAGAGGCATCGGTGGGGCGACAGAGGCGCATATGCGCTTGTCACTTGGCGTAGCCAATACCACGGGGCCGACCATGGTGCTAGGCATTGTGAGAATTGTTAAGCCGCCATGGGGCGCGGCCAAGGGGTCATGGGGCGTGTCTAGAAAGCACTCAAAATTCTCCCCCACCTGAGTTGGCGCCGTCCTCGGAGCCTTATCATGATGATGATGACGATGATGATGATTCTGGTGGTTGTTGGTTGGGAGGTCTGCGCCCCTCTATTCTTTGAGCTTGTTGTTGTAGCGATGCAATGATTTCATGCGGCTGACATGGAAGACTGGATGGATCTTCCACCAGGATGGAGTTTTCACCTGGTATGTGGACTTCCCAATGCGTTTTTCAATGGGCAGGGGCCCGATGTATTTTTGTTGCAAGCGAGGGTCATGGGTCCTATCTACAAACAAGTATTGTTTTGGGACGCATAACATTACTTTGTCCCCTGTTTGATGTTGGGCAAAGCAAAGATTTTGTTCGGTGAACCTTTTTGCCCGCTCTTGGGCTTTGACGAGATAGGTCCGCAGTATCCCCATGTTGCGCTCCCATTTGCTTAAGAGCTTCACCCAATGCTTTTGTGATCCGGTTGCAAAGTTGCGGAGATATTCCTCCAGCATGTCATCGAACCGGTCTGTCTGGCCATCCGATGGTGGATGGATGTCTGAGTTGTGACTCAATATTGACCCAAAGCACCTGAAGAGATGGGTCCAAAAGT